CAGCCAGATGTTATGGGGACTTCTTTTCCTGGCACTAGCACCCTGGGCTAGGGGACCTGATGTGGGGCTGGTATCCTTTACTTCTCAGAGGGGATCTCTGCAGCCAAGATATCCCTCCCAATTTTTATCCGCCACATGTGGGTGTGGGACGTGCCCATCTCTGCCCCTCCAACCAGTCTCGATGTGGCTTCTTCTGTATATCCTTAGTTGTAGGACTTCTGTTCATCTAGATTTTAGGTGGTTCTGAATGAGGGTTGTTCCGTAGTTTAGTTGTAATTTTGATGTGGTTGTGGGAGGATTTGAGTACCGCACTACTTACACCATCATCTTGACCAGAACCCTCCTCACTGCTTATTTTTGAAGTGTCCAGGTGCTCCAAGTGCTCTGCTGTCCTGTGCCTGGCTCACCACAGCAGTCCTGCCCATCGCCCTGCATGGGGCACCAGAGTGAGGTTTCTTTCTAAAAGGTAGACATGACCGTGCCATTTCTCTGCTTAAATCTTTCAGTGATAGCCTCAGTAAAATCTACACATCCCAGCAAATCCTATCTTGCTCAGCTGTTTTTCTATTTCCCCTGCCCCATGTCCAGTCACACACATATTCTAGACAGGCCCAAACACCTGTGCCTTTTTGCACCTCTGACTGTCCAAGCGACAGCACTACCTGAGATACCCTTGTTCTCCCCGACCCCACTCCCTTCTGCTGACTGATTTCTAGTCATCCTTCACAACTCAGACAGGTTCTCCTCTAGAAGCCAAGATATCCCTCCCAATTGTCTGAGCCCAGGTCTTGTCTGAGCTGCCTCAGCCCACCTACCCCTAACTCCCCTCACACTGAGCTGGGTTAGGTGTCCTTCCTCAGAATACACTGAATTAGAAATCACAATGGTCCGTTTAATCATGATATCAGGTCTTAATCATCTCCGCAACCTCAGTACCTAACATTGTGTCTGACACATAGTAGGCATTCAATAAAGATTTCTTGAGTGAATAAATGCTGAATAAAGAATCTACCCAAGTGATAATGTTCAATCCCCAAGGCAGCCTAGGATCAGGAGGGAACGTTTCATGTGAAACTCATTCATGTATTCACCGGGCTACCAGGCATTCTGGATTGAATGCAGCCTAAGATGGCTGGGGTAGTTACAAGTTGGTAAAAACCCATTATGTAAAGTACATAAAGTCTTGGGAAGGCACTGCTGGCTGCCAGAAGGTCGGCAGGGAAAAAGTAGCATGCTTACTGTTTGAAAGATTTAAAAATATATATTATATCATTATACACAATAACTCAGTTTAATAAACTGTTTAGCTGAAATGTTCTTTCGGATTACAAATGAAGAAAATTCTATTCAAAATAGCTCCGGAAAGGCCTCTAGGGAGGTTGACAGATTTGTGTTTTAAGAACCAAGACTGATGTCTGCATTATAGGGCATATCATTTTCGCCAGCATATTAAAGCATTGTTTTCATAAGCCTGGTTTATGGAGCAAACAAAAAGTAATTTGTGGAGGGAAAGAGAGAGAGAGAGACAGAAGGAAAGGAGAAAGGAAAGGG